CTTGGTCTCGTTTTAAAGCGTGAATGTTTCAGTTTGATAGTCATGTGTTCGAAGATGATCGTACGTCAATTTCCTCGAAAAAATTGTAAAGATTCAAAACTTTAAGGAGATCAAGAGGATCTTTCTATGACCTTTTTTTTTTTTTTTCTTAATATATTAAAAATTACATCAGTACAAATTACCGATATTTTTCACTCTTCACTCATGCTAATATTTTCTTTTTCAGAAACTTCCACTCCGCTTCAAAGAATTCTACTACCAAATCGACGGATAACATCCGAAATACGCAGATTGAAAGGAGCTCTGATTCTCCCATTGGAAGCTTCGGTTCGCATACGTTTCACCGATATAATCCCAATTATGCTGCGAGATCTATGGTACATCGGTGGCCGACAATAGTAATTCACTTTGGAGCCAACCGAAGGCGACACGGAGATGTGTATGTTTTTCAGGGTAGACGGCGACAAAACTTTGCCAGTTTGCTAAGCTACTACCCTAGCGGACCAGCATTGTGATCGTATTAACACCTTGCATAATTGCATCGCCACCGACGCCGCCGCGTTTCTCATTGTGCGTCCGTTAAACACGTCTCATTTGAATATTGGTCCATTCAGCGCTCTGTCTGTCGCACAACGTCTCTCTCTGGTACTGGAGAGCTCAATCGCTGATAAAGGGGAAGACCCGTGTATTCCTGTGACTGCTTCCTATAGCAATCTCTCTACGTTCTTTCTCAGGCTGTCAGCTTTCTTTGCTTATGCACCGTTTGATACAGATAACGTGCAGCTCCATTATCAAGCCTTTTGAAGTTAAGTCAGTTACTTGCCTCTTTGCAGGCAAAAGTAAAATTCGACTATTAAGATCAGCGTGGTTGCTAATGATTGGCACAAGCGGTTATTGGTGCTGGTGTAAAGTTAATAGTTTCAGAATTAGCTCGTAGGAAATTCAATAGCTTGACGTCTGCTCTATAATATATATATATTTATACATGTAGCTACATGATTATATGTATAAAATTATGTATAATTATAAATATATATTTATATATTATTTTACACATGTAAATTTATGTAAATAAGAGAAAAGCATAGAGAAACTGCAGATATTTAATTTAGAAGATTTAAGTACACAGATAATGTATATGTAGAAAAGTATGCAAAACGTGGGAAACACAGTGTCTACCTTTTGCGTGGACGAGTCAATTTTTTTTAGCTAGTTTCCACACTTTTAACAAATGGATCATAAAAGTAGTGAATTTGCATGAATATCTGCAGCCTAACAGTCGTAGCCCAGTAATTTCCATGCACCAAAGAAACTCACCAAAATTCCCAAAAATCATCAAGAATTCTCGAAATGAAGCTCTATCTGCAAAGTATTCGTGTGTAGTAACATCCAGCCATAACGATCCCTCTGCCTCCCCGCAACGAAAATTCCACAAACCTCATCATGCATAAAAGCTAGCAAGCGTGGCGAATAATTTTCGTGGTAAAATTTCTAGGTTTCAAGACGAGTTTCTGCAGCGAGTGTCTCTGCCGTTGGCCAAATCGCGAAAGGGGAGGAGGAGGAGGACGAGGCGAGGAGGAAAATCTGGCCGGGTGGTAGGAGGATGGAAAACGATAGAAATAAAATTTCGGACCGAGGCAGTAACAATAAACCGCAGCGCTCTGTGAGCCTGCACTTCACCTCGTTCAATGATCCACCAATGGCCAAGTGGTATGAGGAGAGCTTTCACTTCGCAAGGTTTCTGATTGGCTGGATTCTCCGCCCAGGGGTTGCATCGATCATCCCCTTGGTGCTTCCTCGGACTTCAGTATATAAAGCAGCCTCCCCAGGGACACGGACGGATAGTCGGGACCTTTTGCTGTTTCGTGAATTCTCGCTGGTTGTCGCGAGTGCACGAGAGAGTCGTAAAGTGACTTTCCCCTCCCCTTTGGGACACCTGAAATCAATTTAACAATAACTGTTAACTGAAACCAAAAAAAAAAAAAAAAAAAAAAGGGACAGACACGAGGTTAATCGAAAAAAAAAACGTAAATTTGGTTTTAGAAGTGAATATATCGGGGATTTAGAAGTGGAGGAAACCTTCGAGAAGATTTTTTTTTTCT